CTCAGACGCTTAAACTATAATTAGTTTAAGGCAACAATAAGACAATAATTAATCATCATTGAGTCGAAGTATTTCCAAACGAGTGATCCTCTAGCTTAGTCTACGAATCCCGTTTATACATTTTTATCTAATTCATCGAATATTCATGTTTCACAAATCCATACTAATATGAGATCTATTCTAGAGGTCTTCTAGATAGCCTTAACATCAATTTTCTAAATGTGTATACCTTAGAGTTCTTCTAGATACCCTTAACACTACAAATCATTTCATAATTATAAATGTATTCATTTTATTCATGATTCAATCATAAATACTTATTTTATTCAGTAGGTTCAATACTCATGATCATCCATAATATTCATTTATCATAATCATCAATTAACACAAAAATTGATAATAAATAGCGGCCTAGCTTCGAGTGTTAACACCCGAACTTACCGTCATGCAACACATAACATTTTTTAGTTGTTAAAAACATCATTTTTATTATGGTAAATCATTTTTATAATGGTCATAATCCATTGGTATAAAAAATAGGATTTTAGAGCTCAAAAATAGCAATTTCAGACAAATTTTCGGATTAGAACTTCGGGGGATCGATCCAGCCCTCTGGATCGATCCAAACTATGAAAAATCACTCCCAGGGGATCAATCCAAGCCCCTGGATCGATCCAGACAGTGGTGTTTCAGCCACTGTTCATCTTCTTCTTCGTTCGGGTCCAATTTCGGAAATACCGTTTTTAGTTATCGAACTTCAACGAAACTATATAGAGATGTTCTCCAAGGTTCATAGATCATTTTGGAATCATTAATTCATAGTTTTAACATCAATTTCATGGTTTATGATTCATGGTTCTTCAAACATGTCAAACACAAAACTCAACCAAACGACAGTTTATGAACGTAGAAACGATCTATACGAACATTCTAGTCACTAGATATATCTACGGGCTTACCTCGAAGCTTATTGAAGGTTTTGAGAATTTTCCGGTGAAACTTCCGGCGAGGTTTGTGGCTAGCTCCGGCGACTTCACCCCAAATTGACAGCACCACTTTGTTCTCTACACTCACAGCTTCTTCTCAGAGTTTATTTGAAGAAATTTGATGAAGAAATGGATGAGATTGGGTTCCTTTTATAGGAGAAGAAGTGAAGAAGAAGACATGGGTGTGACTCAGGATTCCATTTCTTCGTTGGTGATCAATTTAGTGCGCAGGACGGCGGATTTGTGGGATTTTACACGCCACTCCCTGATTGGGACAAATTTGGTTCCAGTCGGGGTACACTTTTTTGTCCAACTTTCTCCGAATTGAATTCCGTTTGCACCGTTGCGATTGGACAATTAAACTCTATCCAACGATATAATTTTTATATTTGTTGGTTATTCTTTTTCTGACATCATATTTTTAGGTGTTTGACTTTGACAGAGTAAAAATTGATTTAGTTGATCTTTATTCAAAAAGGTTTCTCACATTTAATTCATATCATTTGTTCTAATGATTTATTTCAACAAATCATTTCAATATTCACATTCTAAACAAATTCTTTATTTACTCTTGATTTGGGTCTGTACTCAGGTTCCCCATCAAGACCACACAAAATAGTCCACATATTGGATTTATGTCTATGAGACTTATCCAGATTTTGATATTAGATGTCAAAACAAATTTCATATCGGCCCAAAGCCCAACAATAATTTATTTTAATCAAAAGAATTGTGATTAATTGATTATTTATTCATTAATAATTCTAGGGTATGTTTTGGGGCGTTACATTAACAATGCCATGGTTTGAGTCTCGAGGCAACAAGACATAACAAAAAATGTATTGAAGAACCCGTTGTGTCAAAGTGAGATTGGTGACACTTGGGTTTGAGGAGTTGGCGTATGAGAGCGTATGAAAAGGAATGCCGAGTTGTTTCCAAATGGCTTTGTCCTCAAACGTGTTATCATTATTTCCACGGAATTCACCTTGACAGAGACCAAGAATAGCTGTCAAGGTCTTGGCGGTAACCGTAAAGGTTTTGCCGTCAACGTGAGCAACCAAGTCCGGATTATCACCAAGAGTAATACGAAGAGTTGAATAGAATTGACGAATGAGATTAGGACAATAAAAATCATATTTCAAAGAGATAAACTTTAGCAAATATTGACGTTGGAAGGGAGCTTTGCACGGGGCATAGGTTGCGTCGTGGAAGAGGGCCAGCTCAACGATCTTCGGTGAGATAATCTCCCTGTCCAGAAACTCTTTGGGAAACTTTTCAACATTCGAGGTGCTTGCGAATCGGATGTTGGATGGAGTGTGGACGTAGGTTAGCCCTTCCAATCTCCAAATCGCACCTACGGTTGGGACGTGTGGCGGCTTCTCCGGTCTTCTCCTTGGCATTTTTATGAAATTGAGGATGAATTTGAGAGAAATTCAAAGAAATTTGGCCAAGAATTTGAAAAATGGCGAGAAAATCAAACCTAGGGTTCGTGGGTGCTCGTCGCTTCTTGAGGAAGAAGAAGGGTTTAGATCTGATTTGCTTCAGATCTAATATTTGATGCGCTGAGACGAAGAAAAAATTGATTAATCGTAGGAACGGCTAATCGATTTAGAACGATGAGGAGAGGCAGTAACTCACTCAGACTATTCAAATCGATTAAAATAAAGTATATTTAATCGATTAGAGCACGATTCGCAGGCCAAAAATTACTCAGACCTAACTAATCGATTAGAAGAAGTAACAAAATCGATTAGAGTGTCGAGAATGCCAAAAAACAGTGTTGAAGGGTGCTGAAACAATTGTTTTGAATATATTTTCAAATAAAGGTGTTTTTCTCAAAAAAAAATCATCAATTTCAAAAATAATTTGCCAAGAAGAGAGAAACCTATAAATGACCCTGCAAAAAAGATTTATTGCGTCTCCGACGCTCAAGTTAGTAAACTTAAACATACGAAAAGATTAGTTTATTGAGATGTCCAAAATACCAAGTTCATTCCTAATGTGAAAGAAACTCTCCCTACTAAGGGGTTTCGTGAAAATGTCCGCCAATTGATGTTTCGTTTCAACAAATTCAATTGTGACATCTCCCTTTTAGACATGATCTCGAATGAAATGATATCTAATTTCTATGTGTTTAGTCCGCGAGTGAAGAATGGGGTTCTTCGTTAGACTAATAGCACTCATATTGTCACATCTAATTGGGATGTGATCAAGTATAAGGCCGAAATCCACTAGTTGCTGTTTTAGCCAAAGAATTTGGGCACAACAACTTCCCGCAGCGACATATTCCGCTTCGGTGGTGGAAAGTGCAACACTAACCTGCTTCTTACTAAACCACGAGATTAACGAATGACCGAATAAGTGGCAAGTACCACTGGTACTTTTCCTATCGAGTTTGCAACCCGCAAAATCTGATTCCGAATAGCCAACAAAATTGAAAGTCGGTTTACACCCTAAGAGGGGGTGAATTAGGGTGTTTGCAAAATTTTTCGTAGAAAACAAAAACTTATGCGCAAAGTAGTAGCGGAAAAAGAGCAAGAAAGATATAAAGGATAAAAATACGACACTAGCGATTTTATACTGGTTCGGGAACTCCCTACTCCAGTACCTCGAGGCTCCTCCTCAAGGATTTAACCTCCACTAACTTGTTTGGCTTCACTAAGAAGACTCAAACGTGGTTTGGCAAACAACCCTTGCCAATAAGCAAATGAGATTTTACTACGGCTATCTCAACCGTTTACAACCGAAGATTTTAAGGCTATCTTCAACCTTACAATGAGGATTTAGAGGCTATCCACACCTTTTACAAATCAATAAAAAGATTGGTGTTGCTTCTCTACCAAAATGATAACAAATGTAAGTTGGGTAGGAGAAGAACAAGAAATTAAATCAACAACAACAAAAGCCTATAGGCAAGATATAAAATAATGAAGCACAAATGCCCTTGTGTGTGAGTGTATAAAAATATGAAAGCTTTTTACTCAAAAGAGTAAGAAAAATAAGACCAAAGCTTTATGAACACTCAAGAATAGAGAAAGAGGCTTTAGAATTAATTGGGAAGTTGTTGTTAATAAAATGAAGCTTAAAGGGGGTTTATATAGGAGTTTGGAATGTTAAAATTTGAGTTTTTAACGTTAAATGCCGTTAGAAAGTGATTAGGGGTGATTTGAATTTAAATTGGCAATTTGCTACAGTGCTGCCAACGGATTCGGTACCCTTCACGATAGGGTCAGTACCGTCCGGTACCTAGGTACCGTGACCCACGGTATAGCCTACCGTTTAGGGGTACCGTGTATGCCTAAAGTTTGGTTCGCCTCTGGCGGTACCTGGTTAGGACAGGGGTAACCATCCGTCTCAGCCTTCCATCCGGTACCTAGGTACCATTACGCGGTAGGGGGTACCGTGTACCTCTTCAGTGAAACGTGCCACGGTATGTTCACTTGGCTACCGGCGGTACCCTGGTGCCGTGTACACGGTAGCCTGGTACCGTTAGGCCAGTGT